GGAAACTATATATATATATATGTTTTGCTCTAAGAGGGATGCTTTCATCTCATCTGAGAGGAGAAAGGGCCTTGGAGAGCTGCATCAGCTTCAGATTATGGCAGTGGCAGACCAGGCTCTCTAAACACAGACAACTTAATCCCATTTGTGCTAAGAGCACTTTACATTATCCTGGGATATTTTAAGGCCAGGTCAGTATAAAGTGGCTTTTGTCTTAATGAGTATCAGACCCAGAGATTTTGTATCTCCACTTATTGCAAGCCTCATAATCAGACTGAAGTCTCCAATTAGCTGTGCTAATGACTCTGCCATATAGATAAAACCTGAAGGTGAAAGGCAACATGCTAGAGTTGCTCTCTTACCTGGAAAAGGCTAAGATGCAGTTTGCCTTTTCTTTGTTTTCTTTTCTATTTTATTTTTTAAGGCGAGCCAAACGGTCCCTCTGTTGAAGAAATTTATCCAATTTATCCTCTGCTCAGGCTCCATTAAGTGATTAGCTGACCACATAAAATGCCATTCAATACATTCAAAAGCCAATCCTCCTCTATTCCGACCGGATCAGAAGTCCCTCTAAAGTAGCTTTAAGAGATCCGAGGGCCAGCTGCTGTGGGGCTTTTTGGGGTGTACCAAATGGGATCTGGGTTTGCTGACGCCGTCCCGAGCTTGGCAGGTGATCTGCGCCGCCTGTGCAACCTGCTGCTGCTCCGGATTCGTGCGCACAGAAGCGGCTCCCGAAAGCAAATCCGCTGGCCCGGTGCAATTCGGATTAAAAGAAGGGAGGAAGTTGTTGAAAAAGATGGGGTTGAAATCTCAAGGGAGAGCAGTTTTGCCAGCTGAATGGCTGCTGGAATTTGTTGAGCTTCCTTAAATGGCCATGACTGGTTTTCCAACTGTCTCAATGGCTTGGCAGAAATATCTCTTAAAAGTCATTGGGGTCCAAATTTTCCGTGCCTTTAAAAAAAGGCCAGAATTCCCCTGCGCGTTCTACTGAATTCGGGATCTTATCAAGCTTGTCACCTGCCCCATGTCCAGAAACCAGGCTTATTTGGTGACAAGCTGCCGTGCTAGCGATGGCGAGACCCGGTGTCCTCCTCCCCAGTGACACCTTGTCTCGCACAGGGCTGTAATCCGCAGAGAGACGTGGGAACACTGTGGAGAGGCCTGCGGAAGGGCACGCAGCCGAGAAAGGAAAGCCTGGTCCTCCACGTGCCCAGCACTGCCAGGATGTTTTGCATTTTAAGACCCTCTTAATGCAATATTCTCTGCCTGCTGGGCCCTGCACTGAGCAGGATCCACAGCCAAGAGGTGCCTTTAAAAGGAAAATACCTTTTTTCCCTACGTTTTGCTGTCCCAGCTCCCCTAAAGGGCTGATGTCCACTGAGCAGGCCGTCAGCTCCTTCCTTTCCTTATCTGAGGCCTCAGCCCCGCAGCCCTGCGCTGTCCTACCATGGTTTGCGTTTCATAATTATTTCCATAAATTATGGAATAATTATTCATAATCATAATTTATTTCCAAGGTTTCTGCTGATAGTTGCAGCACTTGGGGTGTTCAAGTGACCTGCAGCTTCCGTTCCCCGATGCCTTGGTGGTGTCCGGAGCTGGTTTCCTTGTCAGTGACATCCGAGGTCAGGGCCCACAGCGACAGATAAAGTTCAGTGACCCGAATGCTGAAAGGGAAGCTGCCCAGTTTGCAAAGACAGTCCTCAAGCAATACAGCAAACCTTCTGCAAGTGCCTCCCTGCTTCAGCAAGGAGCTGCCGTCGCCTCCCATCTGGCTGCAAAACATTTCTGGCCGCTTCTGGATTTCTCTGGCAAAGTTATGTAAGAAGAGATTAAACTCACTCGTGTTTCACAACAACCCACAGAAAGCAGGGCAAAAAGGGAAGTGCTCCTGGATGCCGCATGTGCTGGCTGCAATTAAAGCCTGGCTTTAAGGGGATAGCTTAACACTATCAGGCCCAATTAGCAAACGTTACTGGAGCGGGAAACGGGAAATCCCATCTCTGGGGAGATGCCGGAACATCTCAAGAAGTTCCAAGGGGCAACCGGAGCAGCCACCTTCGCTGGAGACCTCCAAGCTTTGGCTCAGAGGAGAAATTCCCCGGGCAGAGGAATTTCTGGCTGGAAGAGCATCCTCCAAAGCAACCAAAACACAGCAAATGTGCCTCACAACCTATAGACTGAGGCGTTTAAGGAGCAGGGCTGCAGCTCTGCTGACCTTGATGGCAACAATCCAAGTTGCCACTGGAACAGCCTGAGTGGCTCTTCCCTGCCGTCAAGATGAGGCCGAGACTTGGTGTTTGGCGAAGCACTGAAATAAGATATAGTAGACATGGCATGTGTGTGGGTACTAGAAATACATTAAGCTGCTCTCTGATGGTCCTTTTTGTCTCCCCTGGCATACTTAGTACCGCAGAGAAAACATTTTAGTAGGGAATCCAGCTGAAATGTTCATTCCTCTGTAGCTGAGGAAGGGAAGTAACCATGGTCTCAATTAAAAGGGTTGACTAAGCACTCTTCTCTAGCGAGAGCCTGTGAAACTGGATTGGTTCAGCTCAGGTGATATATGTACTAAGTGGGAAAGTCTGGCTTGCTGCAAGCTAAAAGGGGGGAAATCTACTGATTTCCATGTGAGAGAGCAGGAAAAAAGAGCACTGCAGGCTTTGCTGATGCTCGCTGTGCTGGGGAAACCGTGAACATCTTCAGAAATGGAAAACACATGTTTCGGGTGTTTTTGAAAAGTTTGCCTCGCGAATGTTGACTTGTCTAGAAACCCAAGTTGCAGATGAAAAATATGCTCACTTGTAGCATTAAATGATCAAGTTCCCTCTTGGCATATGGCCTTCATCTCCAGACCTCAACAGCACGTGTCCAAAACAAGCAGAATTAAAATTAAAACAAGGTAAAAGCGGTCAGTAAATGCACTAGCCTAGAATGGGTGCTTGGCCACACCACTGCGGTGGATGATGCTGCCTGGAATGGGACTACGGGAGCCCGGAATAAGATCAGGCATCCTGGATCTTGTGCTACACATGATATTTGACTTTTGATCCTGTGCGAGCAAGGCAGGAGGCTGGTGGTGCGAGGCACTAACTATTGCACAACTGATACAAGAAAAAAAAAACATCTGGATCTGCTTTATGGCAAAAGTGCCTCCTCCCAGGACACCTCAGGCATTTCGGGGGAAAACCTCGGACACATTTGGGATTTTCCGGCATTGCAGGAGCGAGAGGGCGGCCAGGAGCTGAGCAGGGGCCCCAGGGGCTGTGACTGGCCCAGAGCAGCCTGATGTGGTTGGAGCTGCTTTGAGCAGGGGTGGGATGAGGCACCTCCGGAGCCATCGGAATTCTGTGATTCCTCAGCAAACAGAGTGGGGCTGGAGCAACCGGAACAGCTGGAATCCCGTCTTTAATCCTGTTCTTGCCTCCTCCTTCCATACATGTCTGTTCTGTAAGGAGTTCACTATGTCCCGGTGCAGATCTTTCTGGATTCCCAATGTTGCACACCCACTTATTGCCAACTTCATGTCTCCTGATCTGCTTCCCTGCTCCTTTTTCTGTTATTTTTTTTCCCAGCTTTTCAGTGAGAGCAACCGCCACTACTGATCCCTTCTTGAGCCTCACTGGGCAGCCAGGAAAAAGGAGCCCCCTCTGAGCGGGTGGGAATCTGGGAATGCTTCCACCGGCTCACACATGTGCACGCTCACTCCCCTGCACACACGCGTGCACACTCAGACACCCCCATGCACACAGGCCCATGTGCACACTCACAACATGTATGCAGATGCATTCACACAACCCACACGCATGTGTGCACGCTCACTGTGCATGCACACATGCACACGTGCACACTCACCCATGCACACACGCAAGTGTGCACTCACACTGTGCGTGCACGCTCAAACCCCATACACACATATGTGCACACACTGCACATGCACTCGTGTGCACACTCACACAACCCCATGCACATGCATATGTGCACTCACCACACATGCACACATGCACATGTGCACACTCACACTGTGCGTGCACACTACTCACACAACCCCCCCAAACATGCAGGCACGCACTGTGCACTCACACTGCGCATGCACACTCACACAATCCCCACGCACACGTACGTGCACACACTGCACACACACATACCTGTGCACTCACGACGCATGCACACATGCACGCATGCACTCACAACCCCCGTGCACACACGTGCACACACTGCACATGCACGCGCACTCACACGTGCACACATGCACTCACAACCCCCATGCACACACTGCACGTGCACGCGCATACACACGCGCGTGCACGCGCACGCCTGCACACTCGCCCCGCGCATGCGCGCACCCGTTCGCACACTCCCCGCGCACGTGCCCCCCCCGCCGCGCGCATGCGCGCGCACGCCCGCACG